TCCACTTTATGATGGGGTTTTAGCTTGTTGCAATCAGTTGCTACACATGTTAAAGGAGTGAGGGGAGGGTGTCTCTCATCCTCTCTGCTGTCTCCACAAGAGGAGCCAGGTCTTGGCCTGGCTGGTTCTGATGAGGTTTTCAACCTTCTAATTGTCTGTTGCAGCTCAAAGATTCGTTTTTCTTCCTCACGTGCATGTTCATTTTGCTCTTTGATGAACTGAAGCCGTTCTAACTCCTCCTCAGCTACTGATATTTCTGAGCGGGAAGACTTGCAACTGTGTGATGTGCCCACAGATTTATTACTTCTATTGTCGACCATGATGTGGGCTTACCTGACAGTTCGCTGTAATGTCGTTCCCTTCTTCGATGGGTAAAATTCGAATTGTTAGATGCAGTATGTTGGTACAGTCTTAATTCAAGGGTATCAGAATAACTTCTGTGTAGTTCCACATTTATTTTCGTTACAGCCTAGTCACAAGAAGCATTCGAACTGAAAACAACAAGCCCGTATAAGAAACCAATAACGCACAATAGAGATGAACATGAATTTGAATATAAAACAAAACAAAATACAGGAGATGCAAAATCTATATAAGAGAGCATCAGCACATTGCGAAATATGAAAATCAGAATTTGACAAACATTATCCTATTATTGAAAGAAATAAAATCTTCACAAGGCATTCCCATTTAAAGCAAAACATCAGCAAATAAAAGGGGTTGGCTGTGGAACAACTGCCACCGAACAAAACACTACCGTTGGGGGGGGCCGCGGCGCTGAACAACAAAGTATAATAATCTTAAATAAAACACTGTTAACACTCACTTTGTATCCCAATAAAGACTGCAAACCAACTTCTTCATAAAATCCACTCCACGGTCGTTGTCACTCAAAATAAAAGGATGGAAAAAGGCATTTGGCCCACCCAGTACAGACAGCAGTTGCCTTGGTTTATCTTTTGGCGGGAAGCTGCAAGAGTTGACGCAGCGATATCGCACGCAAAGGAGTATGGGTAGTGGCGCGCGGTTTGAACGACTTTCCTTGGATACTTACCAACTAAATCAGATTTTCTTTCGTTTTAAGAAATCAAATAGTTAAAATTGCGCAGTATTCTACATGGTGTGTGTGGTGACATGGTGTGGTGGGTGGTGTGTCTCTGTGTGTGGTGCATAGGGTGGTGGTGTGTGTGTGGTGCATGGGGTGGTGGTGGTGGTGGTGTGTGTGTGTGTGTGTGGTGCATGGGGTTGTGGTGTGTGTGTGTGGTGGCATGGTGGTGGTGTGGTGTGTGTGTGTGTGTGTGTGTGTGTGTGTGTGTGTGGTGCATGGGGTGGTGGTGTATGTGGTAGTGACATGTGTGGTGGTGTGTGTGTGTGTGTGTGGTGCATGGGGTGATGGTGGTGTATGTGTGTATGTGTGTGTGTGTGTGTTGTGTGTGTGTGATTGTGTGTGTGTGTGTGTGTGTGTGTGTGTGTGTGTGGTGCATGGGGTGGTGGTGTGTGTGTGTGTGTGGTGCATGGGGTGGTGGTGTGTGTGTGGTGACATGGTGTGGTGGTGTGTGTGTGTGGTGCATGGGGTGGTGGTGTGTGTGTGTGGTGTTGTGTGTGTGTGTGTGTGTGTGTGTGTTGTGTGTGGTGTGTGTGTGGTGTGGGTGGTGGTGGGTGTGTGTGTGTGTGGTGCATGGGGTGATGGTGGTGGTGGTGGTGGTGTGTGTGTGTGTGTGTGTGTGTTTGCATGGGGTGGTGGTGTGTGTGTGGTGTCACGGTGTGTGTGTATGGTGCATGGGGTGGTGGTGGTGTGTGTGTGTGTGGTGGTATGTGTATAGTGACATGGGGTGGTGGTGGTGGTGTGTGTGTGTGTGGTGCATGGGGTGGTGGTGTGTATGGTGTTGTGTGGTGCATGGGGTGGTGGTGTGTTGTGTGGTGACCGGTGTGTGTGTGTGGTGCATGGGGGGGGGGTTGTGTGTGTGGTGACATGGTGTGGTGGTGTGTGTGGTGCATGGGGTGGTGGTGTGTGTGTGTGACAATGGTGTGGTGGTGTGTGTGGTGCATGGGTGGTGGTGTGTGTGTGTGTGTGGTGCATGGGGTGGTGGTGTGTGTGGTGTGTGGTGGCATGGGTGGTGGTGTGTGTGTGTTGTGTGTGGTGCATGGGTGGTGGTGGTGTGGTGTGGGTGTGGTGCATGGGGTGGTGGTGTGTGTGTGGTGACACGGTATGTGTGTGTGGTGCATGGTGTGGTGGTTGTGTGTGTGGTGACACGGTGTGTGGTGTGGTGTGTGCATGGGTGGTGGTGGTGTGTGTGTGGTGCATGGGGTGGTGGTGTGTGTGTGGTGACATCGTGTGGTGTATGTGTGGTGGCATGGGGTCGTGGTGTGTGTGGTGCATGAGCTGGTGGTGTGTGTATAGTGACATGGGGTGGTGGTGTGTGTGGTGACATGGTGTGGTGGTGTGTGTGGTGCATGGAGTGGTGATTTGTGTGGTGACATGTTGTGATGGTGTGTGTGGTGCATGGGGGTGGTGTGTGTGTGTGGTGCATGGGGTGGTGGTTGTGTGTGGTGCCCGGTGTGTGTGTGTGGTGCATGGGGTGGTGGTGTGTGTTAGTGCATGGGGTGGTGGTGTGTGTGTGATACATGGGGTGGTGGTGTTGTGTTGGTGCATGGGGTGGTGGTGTGTGTGGTGTGGTGCATGGGGTGGTGGTGTGTGTGTGTGTGTGTGTGTGTGTGTGTGTGTGTGTGTGTGTGTGTTGTGTGTGTGTGTGTGTGTGTATGGGTGCATGGGTGGTGGTGTGTGTGTGGGTGCATGGGGTGGTGGGTGGTGGTGGTGGTGGTGGTGGTGTTGTGTGTGTGTGTGTGGTGTGTGTGTGTGTGTGTGTGTGTGTGTGTGTGTGTGGTGACATGGTGTGGTGGGTGGTGTGTGTGTGTGGTCATTTGTGTGGTGGTGTGGTGTTTGTGTGTGGTGCATGGGGTGGTGGTGTGTGTTGTGACATGGGGTGGTGGTGTGTGTGGTGACATGGTGTGGTAGTGTGTGTGTGTGGTGACACGGTTATGTGTGTGTGGTGCATGGGGGTTGGTGTGTGTGTGGTGACTGTGTGGTGGTGTGTGTGTGGTGCATGGGGTGGTGGTGTGTGTGTGTGGTGCATGGAGTGATGGTTTGTGTGGTGATATGGTGTGTGTGTGGTCGCATGAGTGGTGGTGTGTGTATAGTGACATGGGGTGGTGGTGGTGTGGTGCATGGTGTTGTGGTGGTGTGTGTGTGGTGACACGGTATGTGTGTGTGGTGCATGGGGGGTGGTGTGTGTGTGGTGCATGGGATGGTGGTGGTGTGTGTATGGTGCATGGCGTGATGGTTTGTGTGGTGATATGGTGTTGTGGTTTGTGTGTGTGGTGACACGGTGTGGTGTGTGTGGTGCCATGGGGGGGGGGGGGTTGTGTGTGTGGGTGACATGGTGTGGTGGTGTGTGTGTGGTGCATGGGGTGGTGGTGTTTGTGTGTGGGCATGGGGTGGTGGTGTGTGTGTGGTGTGTGGTGGCATGGGGTGGTGGTGTGTGTGTGTGTGTGGTGCATGGGGTGGTGGTGTGTGTGGTGTGTGTGTGGGTCATGGGGTGGTGGTGGTGGTGGTGGTGGTGGTGTGTGTGTGTGTGTGTGTGTGTGTGTGTGTGTGTGTGTGTGTGTGTGTGTGTGTGTGTGTGTGTGTGTGTGATGCATGGGGTGGTGGTGTGTGTGTGTTGTGATGGGGTGGTGGTGTGTGTGGTGGCATGGTGCGGTGGTTGTGTGTGTGGTGTGTGGTACATGGTGCGGTGGTGTGTGTGTGTGGTGCATGGGGTGGTGGTGCGTGTGTGTGTGTGGTGACATGGTGTGGTGGTGGTGTGTGTGTAGTGCATGGGGTGGTGGTGTGTGTGTGTGTGTGGTGACATGGTGTTGGTGGTGGTGTGTGTGTAGTGCATGGGGTGGTGGTGTGTGTGGTGACATGGTGCGGTGGTGTGTGTGTGTGTGTGTGGTGCATGGGGTGGTGATGTGTGTGTAGTGCATGGGGTGGTGGTGTGTGTGTGGTGACATCGTGTGGTGTATGTGTGGTGGCATGGGGTCGTGGTGTGTGTGATGACATGGGGTGGTGGTGTGTGTGTGGTGACATCGTGTGGTGTATGTGTGGTGGCATGGGGTCGTGGTGTGTGTGATGACATGGGGTGGTGTGTGTGTGTGGTGACATCGTGTGGTGTATGTGTGGTGACATGGTGTGGTGTGTATGTGGTGAGTGACTCTGTGTGGTGACAAGGGGTGTACAAACTAGATTCATTTGTCTGAATTTCTAGTTTGCATTGTTTTTTTTTTTTTTTTATAACATTCTGTTAACACTGTATAGGTTTTTTTCTCATTTATATGTACATATGCACACACCCACACACACACCCACACACACACACAATATATAATATAATATATATATATATATATATATATATATATATATATATATATATATATGTATATATATGAGTATACTTGTCGGTCGCATCAATGCAGTCTTTGTTTCATTTTGAAATGTATGGCACATCTAGTGAGAAACTGATTGAAGAATTACTTTTATTACAGGTCTTTAGGTTTTGATTTGGGCCTCAGTTGCTTCATAATAAATGAAATAATCAGAATATCATACATCTGGCTGCACTAGGGAGAGAAAGTGAGGGAGCGAAAGTTCAGAGAAAGTGGGTAAGGAGAGAGAGAGAGAGTAAAAGACTAATATATTGAGACGGATAGATAGATAAGAGAGGTAGATGACTAGATAAATAGGTAGATCGATAGATTGAGAAAAATAGACAAACAGGGATACATGCATACATACATTCAGGGAGAGAACAGAGATAGGAGAGTCTGAATTGACTTACTTTTCTGTTCGATGCATTTGTGTGTATTATGCCATACCAATAGAAGTAAAAGAACACTTAAATAACAAACGGAATTTTAAGGTTGATATTCGCGTTAGGTCTCGCCAGTAAACCAGTTCTTGACGAGACCAGCCTTGGTCACCTGGTATAAATAGGGTGCCCCAGGACGCGCCCCTCCACAGTCTACTGCCAGGACTCTCTTCCGCAATAGCCAAGGTAGTATCGGAATCTTTGTGGTGTTCTTTTGAGAAAAGTTGGAAAATAAACGGAATCCACTTATGAGGCAATTTAGTGTCATTACCGTTAGGAGCAGGTGGGACAATTAGCTAAATGTGCAACAAGATATGGTAAGTCTCATTCCTTTCCATCTATCTACCTCGCCAGTTCTTTTTCAAACTTCCTTCACCGGTTATTTATTTATTTATACTTCTCTCTGTCACTCATCCGATCATTCACTATATCTTTCTCTTTCTGTCTGCTTCACAAATGCACATTCTTTTCTTGCAAAATGTTTTGTTGCTCATACTCACTTACAGCCATGATGAAGGTTCTCCTCATCCTGTCGGCCCTCGCTGTGACGGCCTTTGGAAGGATGGCTGGCGTTTTGCCCGGAGGATTTCGGATCAACGACGGTTTTTCCTGCGACGGTCGTCCGTATGGCTTCTATGCAGACGCTGACAATGACTGCAAGGCTTATCACGTCTGTGAGCCTGTGGTGGATGAAGATGGGCAGGTAGGTTACGTGATGAGTCATCTGAATGGTTAGTGAAAGGTTAAAAGTAAAAGTGAAATGTGCAGGCTATTGAAAAGTTCAACAATGATATTCTTATAAAAGACCATTCAATTTTTGCCCTCGGCCACGTGTAATACTTAAAAACATTATTCCATCTCTCTAAGCTTGTGGAAATGGCCCACTACACGTTCCTCTGTGGCGAAAAAACTGTTTTCGATCAGGAACAGCTGTCTTGCGCTACACCGGGAGAAGCCTACCCTTGTGCCAACGCTGCTGCCATTTACGAAGAAACAAACCGCAGACTGCTCATCGAAGCCGAGGACCAAACCGAACCTTAACCATATACTGCTTTTGGACGACCAGAAATTTCGACGGAGCTTTCTCTCAATATTTATTTATGAAAATGCGTCTGTAAAGTATGGATGATGAATCCATTATTATAAATGTGTGCCACTTGCAGAATATATGCATCATTTAAACTGTCCATGTTTCAGTGGGGAACATGTTTTCAGTGGGAACGTGATGTTTTCTGAAATAAGAATATCACATTAGATAATACTAACTATATGATATCTATTAATCCTTATGGGTACAAATGGTTACTGAATAGAAACTTTCCCTGTAGGAGATAGTAATCAAAGTCGAGCATAGGATAATGTTACAGAATGATCCCTGAAATAAACAAGGACAAGTCGCTCCCAGAAATAATAAAACATTCCTTAGATTGACAAGATAATACGGAATCATTTCACTTGATTAACTCTATCGGAACCGTGTTTTGAAAAAAAAAAAAAAAAAAACAGTAAAAAGGTAGCCATGGATATGATTTTATGGGCTCACTGAACAAGGCGACCAGTTTACACTGAAATTTAAATTCTATTTCAAAAAGGACGTCAAAATAATCAAATATACAATAGACTTCACCTCCAGACACAGTTTATCCGCTCACCGTCCCTCCCGACCCTATCTTCACCTTTGAATACATAGCGCAGTGGGAAACGATATCTGCCAAACTTCGTGTTACTGGATGAGCTCTACTAGCATATGTACGTGAAATCTTAGCGAAGATATGGAAAGCAGCTCGGGTGTGATCACCTCCGATCCACTGTTTACAGAATAGGTAACTGGAGTAAACATAATTGAGTAGGCCCTATTCACACTAGCCAACTAGTGTCTTAGTTGCCTCCAATATTTTTTCAATTAGAGCATTCATACGACGCCACTACAGTTGTCTGACCGTGCAACCGATTTTACGGTGTCCCGCTCCCGTAACTAGTGTCCGGCACTTGCTGTACAGCATTTTATCCAATGAAATCTTTCACTCGGCGCCACAGGTTCCGCCACTTTCGACCGTTGACCATCACTTTTCACTCAGTGACAATCAGGCCGGCATGATGGGCCACACCATATCAACTAAAACTAAAACATAATGTCACCTAAATCATATCAGGGAGAAACGAGATGAGAGAAATGTAAAATGGGGAAATATGGATAAAGAAGATGAAGCAATACAAAAGGGGAAGGAGGAAAAATATATGAATCACACAATATTAACTACCTAATACAAAAACACACACACACACGTGCATATATATATATACATACATATATATACACACATATGTATACATATATATACTATATATGTATATATATAATATATATACATATATATATATATATATATATATATAGATACATATATATATATATATATATATATAATATATATATATATATATATATATATACATATATACATTTATATACATATATAATATATATGTTATATATATATATATATATATATATATATATATATATATATATATTATACATATATATATGTATAATATATATAATATATATTATTCATATATATATATATATATATCATAATATATATGTATATATATATATACATATATATATA